AATGCTGATACCATGCGGCTCTATTTTGCAACACTGCCTTGTGCAGTCATTCTCGGTCTCTCTCACAATTTACGCAACGTCCAAAGGGAACTGTTTCCTGACATTCCACTTGTCCTAAAGAAGTGGCCTTTTGCATGCAATAATACCAAGACGGCCAGATGGGACCGAAGGGAATTGTTTACGGTCTGAGCAGCGAGACCACCCAAGCTGAAATCTTTTCTTGGCTCCGGATGATCTCATCTCTTGGCCGACCAACTAACTTCCCCTCTGTCATCCCCCTCTTTTTAGCCAACCCAAAAAAGGATTGCTCTCTGTTACATAACGAGGCAGAACAGCCTCTCTGGAGAAGGGTGGACTCCTTCCTTCCTTAGCAATGCCATTTTCGGTCATGTACTTCTTCCTCTCCTGGTAGCTGCCATCATTGGGAGGGATTTAGAACAGATACCCCCTGTGTGCTTCCCTTCCAGATAATTCCCTTTTTCCAGTCATGCAAAGGAAGATGAAAGGCAGCAGCTATAGCTGGGAGGAACAGGTGCTGGAGTGCTCAGGTGCATCCGCTATTCTGGCAGCCCAAGAACAAGCCATTCGAACCAATGCCATCAAAGCCAGAATTGAAAAGTCGACAACAGATCCCAAATGTAGACTCTGCAAGGAAGCAGATGAAACAATAGATCACATCCTCAGCTGCTGCAAGAAGATCGCACAGACAGACTACAAGCAGATGCATAACACCGTTGCTCAGATGATTCATTGGAACTTGTGCCACAAATACCATCTGCCTGTGACAAAGAACTGGTGGGATCACAAGCCGGAAAAAGTTACAGAGAATGAATACGCCAAACTCCTCTGGGACTTCCGAATTCAGACAGACAGAGTTTTGGAGCATAATACTCCTAACCTCACAATTGTGTTAAAAAACGAAGTATGGATCGTTGATGTCGCAATCCCAGGTGACAGCAGGATTGCAGAGAAACAACTGGGAAAGCTGACACGATATGAGGATTTAAAAATCCAACTGCAAAGACTCTGGCACAAACCAGTAAAGGTGGTCCCAGTGGTGATCGGCACACTGGGTGCAGTGCCTAAAGACCTTGGCCTGCACTTAAACACAATCGGCGCTGACAAAATTGCCATCTGCCAGCTGCAAAAGGCCACCTTACTGGGATCTGCACGCATTATTCGCTGATACATCACACAGTCCTAGACACTTGGGAAGTGTCCGACGTGTGATCCAATACAACAGCCAGCAGAGTGTCTGCTGTGGACTCATCTTGTTGTAATAATAATAATAATAATAATAATAATAATAATAATAATAATAATAAGAGTGTAAGAAGGCCTGATTCTTGCAGCCCAGGAGCAGGAAATCAGAACAAATGTAATTAAGGCCAGGATTGAAAAATTAGCTGATGACCCAAAATGCAGACCGTGCAAGGAAGCTGATGATACCACTGATCACATCCTCAGCTGCTGCAAGAAAATCGCACAGACGGACTACAAACAGAGGCGCAACTATGTGGCCCAAATGATTCATTGGAACTTATGTTACAAGTACCACCTGCCGGTAGTAAAGAACTGGTGGGATCATAAACCTGCAAAGGTAGTGGAAAATGAACACACAAAAATATTGTGCGACTTTTGAATCCAGACTGAAAAAGTTTTGGAAGACAATACACCACAATTGTGGAAAAGAAAAAAGTTTGGATGATTTATGTTGTCATACCTGGTGACAGTCGAATTGGCAAAGAACAACAGCAAAAACTCAGCCGTTATCAGGACCTCAAAAACAAACTGCAAAGGCTCTGGCATAAACCAGTACAGGTGGTCCAAGTGGTAATCAGCACACTGGGTGCTGTGCCAAAAGATCTCAGCCAGCATTTGAAAACAATAAACACTGGGTTAAATTGGAAACAACTGACCGCATGCAACAACTGGACACATTCCAGGGAGATGACAAGCTGGAATGTGTCCAGAGAAGGGTGACTAAAGTGATCAGGGGTCTGGAGAACAAGCCCTATGGGGACCGGCTTCAAGAGCTGGCCATGTTTAGCCTTCAGAAGAGAAGGCTGGGAGGAGACATGATGGCCATATATAAAGATGTGAGGGGAAGTCATAGGGAGGAGGGAGCAAGTTTGTTTTCTGCTCCTCTGGAGACTAAGATGTGGAACAATAACTTCAAAATACAGGAAAGGAGATTCTGCCTGAACACTAGGAAGAACTTCCTAATGGTGAGAGCTGTTCAGCAGTGTAACTCTCTGCCCTGGAGTGTGGTGGAGGATCCTTCTTTGGAAGCTTTTAAGCAGAGGCTGGATGGCCATCTGTCAGGGGTGCATTGAATGTAATATTCCTGCTTCTTGGCAGGGGGTTGGACTGGATGGATCACAAGGTCTCTTCCAACTCAATGATTTTATGATTCTATAAATCACGATCTGTCAACTGCAAAAGGCCACCTGACTTGGATCTGCGCATATCATTCGAAAATACATTGCACAGTCCTAAACGCTTGGGAAGTGTTCGACTTGTGATTTTGGATACAAAATCCAGCATATATATCTTGTTTTCTGTGTCATACTGTGTTTTTGTGTCAGTATAATGATGATAATAATAATAACAATAATAGTGTGTGATTTAAAAGGTAAGTTAATCTGCACATTCCCAAGAGTTGCTACAAGAAGCTGAGGCATATCATGAGACAACACAACTCATTGAAAGAACAATAATGCTTGGTAAAATGGAAGAGAAAATAGGCAAATGGGAAAGGGTAGATGTGGAAATAGGAAGGAGATTGATGGGAAGTTAAATACCTTCAATAACTGAAAAAGTGTCCCATTCAACCAACCAATTTAGATCTGCTCACAGTAGAGATTGCATGTCTCAATCTGTTAGAGAAGGCCCACTCAATCAGGAAGTTTTACCTTCAAGACTTAAGTCTATGAGTCTATTTGAATGGGGACAAACCCGTAAGATTGAAGGCACTGCCTGCTGTCGAACAGGCAACTCCTCCTTGGCTCGCATGAGACATTTCTGTCACTCAGGCCCATTGGGATTCCAAGAAAGGCAGGCATTTCATGTATGACTCCTTCCCAAAGAAAAATACCCAACTAACTCCACATGACCATGGCCGCAGGCTTATCGAGCATATTTGCAGCAAGGACATTCCACCCAAAGGCCCCGTGCCTCTCAGCATCTCTGTCTCTCTTGGAAGGGTATCACTTTGCAGTTTGGCCAGTCGACTTTCTAAAAGCCCATTTAGGAAATGCGTCTCGTTCTTCTTCCTGACCCAATTTTCTTTAAAAGGAAAACCTGCATTCCAGCACCTGGCATCATCGCTCTGGCCTCCACTCTTCCTGGCACACTTTTCTCGAGGATGCTCAATTAAGACAAGAACACTTAACATGCTGTCCTTTGCACCCCAGGCGCCTGCCCTTTGGGATTGTCTGCAAACGGGGAAGGAGAGCTTCCAGGTCTCTGAACAGCCAAAATGGCAAAGAGCTTTCAGGCCTGAGATGGAAGCCTTTGAATGATGCCGTGTAGCATTAAACTGCCTTTATGGTTTTAAAAACCTAATTTAGGTTAAAGGTAAAGGTTTTCCCCTGACATTAAGTCCAGTCGTGTCCGACTCTGAGGGTTGGTGCTCATCTCCATTTCTAAGCCGATGAGCCGGCGTTGTCCATAGACACCTCCGAGGTCATGTGGCCAGCATGACTGCATGGAGCACCATTACCTTCTGATCCACTCAAATTTGCATGTTTTTGAACTGCTTGGTTGGCAGAAGCTGGGGCTAACAGCAGGAGCTCACACCACTCCCCGGAATTGAACCTGCGATCTTTCAGTTAGCAAGTTTAGCAGCTCAGCGGTTTAATCCACTGTGGGCTCCATAATTGGATATAACCGGTTAAATAAGAGCTATATAAAGTGGCATTTTCTGGACTACTGGCAATTCCAGGGAACAAAGAAAATAATAATTGAGTCCCCTACATCAGACAGCTTGGGAAACATTGCCTTAGAGCCCTTCCACGCGGCCCCTTTATCCCAGTATCTGATCCCAGATCATCTGCTTCAAACTAGAATATGAGACCTTTTGGTTAGCAAGTTCAGAAGCTCAGCTGGTAACTCAGTGGTACAGCAGGTTAAACTGCTGAGCTGTTGAACTTGCTGACCAAAAAGTTGGCAGTTTGAATTCGGGGAGTGGGGTGAGCTCCTGCTGTTAGCGCCAGCTTCTGCCAACCTAGCAGTTCACAAACAAGCAAATGTGAGTAGATCAATAGGCACTGCTTTGGCAGGAAGGTAATGGCGCGCCATGCAGTCATGCCAGCCACATGACCTTGGAGGTGTCTATGGACAATGCCGGCTCTTCGGCTTAGAAATGGAGATGAGCAGCAACCCCCAGAGTTGGACATGACTAGACTTCATGACATGGGGAAAACTTTACCTTTTAATTTTATGCATGATTTCAGAAATTGCAAAACTAGAATACAGTATAAAATATCCTATAAAACAAATTGGTATGAAGAGTGAAGCAAACTATTAACCGTAGAAAGGTAAGAATAACAAATGAAAGGAAGGTAACTAGGATTTCTGAAGCTTCCCTGAAGCCTAGACCTTTGAACCACAGTGGACATCTCTGCTCTTATTGAAATGCACCACAGAAGATTCCTCCAGGAAAATGGTTCATTCACAACAAGCCAAAATTGTCTCTGCTAAAAGCAAAGCCTACTGAGGATTGAAGGACCACTCCAGAGTCAAATTCCAAACCTCTTTCGCTAGTTTCACAATTTTTGGGTCTAGCAGTGGTTCTCAACCTGTGGGTCCCCAGATGTTTTGGCCTTCAACTCCCAGAAATCTGAAAAGCTGATCAACTGGTTGGGATTTCTGGAGTTGTAGGCCAAAACACCTAGGACCCACAGGTTGAGAACCACTGGTGTAGAACTTCTAGTCAGGGATTATGAGAGTTGTAGTCCCAAAATATCCAGAGATCCAGTAACACAGCAGAGCCTTACCTTTGGATGAGGGTCCCAAAGAACAGGTGCAGAAGCCTCTGTATGTTCTCGGTGCACAGCCAACTCCAATGGTCAACCATGACCAGATGGAGAAGATCCAAAGCGACGTCTGCCAGCAGTGTCTCGGATTCTGCCAAGTCAAGGTGGAGCAAAAGAAAAATGAGCTTAAGTCAGAAAAGTCCTCCATCTAGACCAGGAGCCGTTAGCAGACCTTGAACAGATCTACCCCCCCCCCCCGCCCCTTTAATGATTCTTTAATGATTCTTAGCCCAGCGTATCTGTCCGAACGGATCTCCCTCTACATCCCACCTCGGAGTTTAAGATTTTCTGGGGAGGCCCTGCTCTCGGCCCCGCCTCTGTCACAAGTGAGACTGGGGGGACGAGGAGCAGGGCCTTCTCGCCGGTGGCCCCTCACCTATGGAATTCACTCCCCGGGGAAATTAGATCAGCGACATCCCTCCTTTCCTTTAGAAGGAAATTAAAAACATGGATTTGGGACCAGGCGTTTGGGCAATCTGGCAGATAAATAAAGGACTGCGACGACCGATAGGAACAGACAATGTAGAATGAAATATGGACTCTGAGTTGGCGAACGCTGAGCTGAGATTGGTTTATTGACTGTGACATACATTGATTGTTTTTTAACTGTTTAACTGTTTTAATTGCTGTTTTATTCATTTATCTGTATTATTGTGTAGGCATCAAATTGTGCCTTTTTGTAAGCCGCCCTGAGTCCCCCCTCGGGGGTTGAGAAGGGCGGGGTAGAAGTACACGAAATAAATAAATAAATAAATAAATAAATAGTAATTGAAATTGCGGAATAGGTTTGGGGCAAAAATATTGTTGTGTGTTATGCTTTGAAAATGCCTTTCAAAATGTCAACTCGATTGACTCACAGAATGAAACAGAATTAAAGAGTTGGAAGAACTGAAAGGGCTATGCAAGGAATCCACTGCTAAAGCAGTCTCAAGAGGTGGACATCCAGCCTTTGTTTAAGACCTCCAAAAGACAGTAGATTGCCCTCCAAGGTGGTCTATTCCCTCCTGAACTCCTCTGTATGTGGAGCACATTGGCTCAATGGCAGATCTCAGCCTTCTGACACCTCTCCCCCATTTGAAACACAAGGGATAAGAATACCAATGTCTTTTGCAAACCTGGGTGTAAGTGAAAATAATAATTATAATTCCACCTTATTTTATGTGATGTTACTTTATTTCACAACTTTGGGGGCTATTTGACAGAGATCCATATCTATTTGTAGCCATTCGAAAAGGTTCTTCAATATAATTGTCTAACATAATATAGCTATGTTGCAGCTATGACTTTCAGCACTCTCCAGTCCTCTTTTGGGGCCCGCATTCTTTTTATAAGGCTTAAACACCCTTCAAGTTCTGAGATACCATCTGGTCTCGGAAACGAAGCTGAGAGGTCTGGTTAGGACCTGGATGAGAGACTACCAGGGAGGACCAGGTTATGTAGGCAATCGTCAGGGCAAGGCAATGGCAAACTACTTCTGAGTACTCCTACCCGAAGAGAATCCGGTGAAATTCATAAAGGAATAGGCGACTTGAATGCACATGCATTGCATTATTGTTCCTTTCATTCATGTCACTTTGCTGCCATCTTATGGAAGCATCCAGACTTAGCAATGGAGAACACCAGCTGCTAGGAAAACAGCTCAGGGCTCTTCCAGACAGGCCCTATATCCCAGGATCTGATCCCAGGTTTTCTGTTTATCCCAGTGCAGACCCATTATTTTACTCTATTATTATTATTATTATTATTATTATTATTACATTTATTATTTTACTCTATTATTGTTATTTTACTTCATTTATTATTTTACTTCATTTATTATATTTTTACATTAATTACTTTACTTTATTATTATTGTTACTATTATTTATTTTATTTATTTATTTTATTTCTGGTACTTTTACCCCGCCCTTCTCAACCCCCGGAGGGGGACTCAGGGCGGCTTACAAAAAAGGCAGAATTCGATGCCTATACAAAATTACACATAATATACAAAAATATACAAAAGAACAAATATACAAAAATGTAATTAAAACGATTATATCGATTAAAACATCAACAACCGGTACATAAGACATTATATAAAACATCATATAAAAACATCATATAAAAACATCATATAAAAGTCATTCTTATAATCAGCGTTTCGTTTCCAGAGTTCCACATGTCCAATCCGTTAGTCATTTCCTAGCCATCAATGAAGTTCTTTCTTTATTTGCCCACTTGTCCAAATGCCTGGTCCCAGATCCATGTTTTTAGTTTTTTCCTGAAAGAAAGGAGCGAAGTTGCAGATCTGATTTCCCCGGGGAGTGAATTCCACAGGCGGGGGGCCACCACCGAGAAGGCCCTGCTCCTCGTCCCCGCCAATCTCACCTGTGATAGAGGCGGGGTCGAGAGCAGGACCTCCCCAGAAGATCTTAGGCTCCGGGGTGGGACGTAGAGGGAGATCCGTTCGGACAGATACACTGGGCCGGAACCGTATAGGGTTTTATAGGTCAAAACCAGCACCTTGAATTGTGCTCGGAACTGGATCGGCAGCCAGTGGAGCTGACACAACAGGGGGGTGGTATGCTCCCTGTATGACGCCCCGGTGAGCAATCTGGCTGCCTCTCGCTGGACTAGTTGGAGTTTCCGAGCAGTCTTCAAAGGCAACCCCACGTAGAGTGCGTTGCAGTAATCTAATCGGGATGTAACAAGAGCGTGGACCACCGTGGCCAAATCCGACTTCCCAAGGTACGGGCGCAGCTGGCACACAAGTTTTAATTGTGCAAAAGCTCTCCCGGCCACCGCTGAGACCTGGGGTTCCAGGCTCAGCGATGAGTCCAGGATCACTCCCAAGCTGCGAACCTGCGTCTTCAGGGGGAGTGTAACCCCATCAACACAGGCTGTAACCCTATACCCTGTTCGGCCTTACGACTGACCAGTAGGACCTCTGTCTTGTCTGGATTCAATTTCAATTTGTTAGCTCTCATCCAGTCCGACACAGCAGCCAAGCACCGGTTCAAGGTCTGGACAGCCTCCTTGGTGACAGGTGGGAAGGAGTGACAGATTTGGACATCATCTGCGTAGAGATAACATCTCATTCCGAAACTCCGAATGATCTCCCCCAGCGGCTTCATGTAGATGTTAAATAACATCGGGGACAGAATTGAACCCTGTGGGACTCCACACAACAACGGTTGTGGGGCCGAACAGGTGTCACCCAATAACACCTTCTGGGACCGTCCCTCAAGGAAGGATCGGAGCCACTGCAGAGCAGTGCCCCCGAGCCCCATGTCCATGAGGCGCCCCAGAAGGATACCGTGATCGACGGTATTGAAGGCCGCTGAGAGATCCAGCAAAACCAACAGGGACACACTCCCCCTGTCCATTTCCCGGCGAAGATCATCTACCAAGGCGACCAAATTACATTTATTATTTTACTCTATTATTATTATTACATTTATTATTTTGTTCTATTGTTGTTATTATTTTACTAGCCATCCCCTGCCACGCATTGCTGTGGCCCAGTCTGTGTATATGTGTTTTGTTTGTATATATATGTGTGTTTGCACGCACGCATATGTGTGTGTGTATGGTTTAGCACATGCATTGTAATGTAATTTTGGGGGTATTTTTTTTGCTTTTTAACTCTTTTCTGCTGTGTTTTTCTGTGTTTTTATGAGTGATGGTCACTTGTTGGCCTGACAGGTAAATTGTGTCCAAATTTGGTGTCAATTCGTCCAGTGGTTTTTGAGTTATGTTAATCCCACAAACTAACATTACATTTTTATTTATATATATTTATTATTTTACTCTATTATTACTTTTATTATTTTACTCTCTTTATTATTAATGTAAGCACATTTACATGGAAGAAGGTTAGAATAATGGTCTCATCAGAGTTGGATAGTCTTATCTTAAATGACAGTTTTATGTAACTGGGTTGTTGTAGGTTTTTTCAGGCCATATGGCCATTTTCTAGAGGTATTCTCTGCTGACGTTTCGCCTGCATCTATGGCAAGCATCCTCAGAGGTAGTGAGGTCTGTAAATATTCAAGGTAGTGTAAATATTCAAAATATTTTTCCTAATGATGCCTCACTTAACGTAATTTTATTCGTATCTATTTTTATTTTGAAATTTACCAGTAGGGGCTGCATTTTCCACTCTTGGCTTATACTCAAGTAAATATGTTCTCCCAATTTTTTGTGGCAAAATTAGGTGCTTCACCTTATATTCAGTTTGGCTAATAATCATAATAATAATAATAATACTTTATTTATATTCTGCTCTATCTCCCCGGAGGGACTTAGGGTGGATTTCAGACAATGCCTGGATATAACAACAATACATCTATACTAACAAAATTTAAACAACCCAACACAGAAACACGAATTATGACTTAACAACTAAAATTAAATAAAAAACACAGCCTGTTATAACAGACGTAAGACAAAACATCAAACATCGAATAGAAACATCAATTTCCCAGTATACTCGAGTATATACAGTACATTATTATGGACCAGTCATTTCTAGGAATCACCTTGGTCCTCCAAAGAGACTCTGCTAATTTGTGGCAGAAGTCATCCATTTCAATATAGTTCACTATTGCTCATGGTTTCCTGTTTCCATTCTCAGATCAGGAATATATCCCCAATGGCTATCGGAATTGTCCTTTCTATGGGCAGTGACAATACATTCTGTGTATGTGGTAAAGAAATGGACAAAATAGGGGGGAAAAAACCCTTACCAAGCTCATTGTTGCCTTCTGCTGGCCCATGTGGTACCTCCATCAATTTCATGTCCAAATCCAAGGCTTGCTCAAGAGCCTTGGCATCTTCGTCCCCCTCGTTTTCTTCCCGTTCAGTCACCCCTGATTCCAGCAGCTTTTCTTGCTTCTGAATGAAAGACTCTATTCTGGCCAAGGACAGCAGCTCAGACACCTAAGAGAACAAGAATTGTGTTACTTTCAGGACAGTTATGGAAGCAAACAAACCCTGAGCCACCATCCACAGGAACACGAAGGCCATCATTTTAGGGGACTAGTGGTTTTTGTATCTATTTACTTTCTGTTGGAAATAGCAACCTCCCAAGCCTCTCACTGTTCATTTGTTAATGCATATATTTGCTAACCTGCATTCTATGTGTATGTTGATTTGCCAATTTGACTTGTTACAGTAAGTCTTAACAGGATCAAGTATGCGTGTGTGTTAACAAAAACCTTATGCTGTTAATTATTATGTCCAGCTGCTAATGTAGGTCAACTAGTAAGTTTGGACCACACCTGGTGAGGTATAACTGTATGGTTTTGAGAATACAGTTCAGTTTTCTGCTCTGGGGAGCCTTTGCTCAGGCATTTTGCTCAACTATTTCTACTGCTCTCTCATTTGGATGAAGGTGAAGAAGCCTTATTATATATTGTTTACAAAGACTATGTAAGTTGGTTGCACTCTTTGTAACATTGCAAGTTTATGTTTTAACTCTGCTGATAAGAGTAAAGTTTTTCTGTGCTTTCTCCTCTTGCCTGGGTGCAATGTTATTGTGTCTTCTGCATTGGACTTGACTGAAATACGCTTAGCACAACATGACTTACCTCTTTGGTGTGTGGATGAGTTATAGAAAGTAGGCTTGGGCGATCCAGTTTGTTAATTTCATAATTCGTTATTAATTCGTATTTAAATTACCTTACGATCCAATATCGAACCATGCAGGAATAGTGTGAGGAGTAATTACGAATCGAAACAATTTTTCCAATTTTCATAATTATTTCGTAATTATTTTCGTAATTATTTTCGTATGTCTGGTGCAAGTTTTACAATCTCGCATTTACCCACTTCCGGTCCCTTTGCTCTGCTGCTTCCCTCCTCTTTCCTCATGCTTCTTCTTGCCTCACTCTAATATACAATACTATAATATAATATATAATAATAATAATATATATTATATTATATTATATTATATTATATTATTATAATACTATTATATTATAGTATTGTATATATTATATTATATTATTATAATAATATATAATATAATAATAATATAATAATATAATATATAATAATATATATAATAATATAATATAATATACAATAATATAATATAATAATATTATAATATAATATACAACAATATAATATAATAATATAATAATAATATAATATAATATAATATAGTTGTTTTTTGTTTTATCACACCAACAGTCAACAACAGAGGGAGAGGGAAGCTTCAGAAGTTCCCCCTGTCCCATTTGGAGGTTTTTTTAGTATATTGCGCAATCGCGTCCGCCATTAACGAATCGATTCGTAATTTACGAAATTTCGGAAATTTCGAAATTTTGAAATCTTAAATTTTGGAAGTCCTCAGAATTTAGAAACGCTAGCGCACCCTAGAAACAAAACAAGTTTATAACCAATTTTTTTCTCGATCGCCCAAGCCTAATAGAAAGGTGATTATACTAAGCACGTTCAGACTCAGGACTCCATTTTGATTCAGTGCTTGCATCAGACCTCAGTGGAGGTGGATGTATGTCTGCATATGTTTGGTCTTCAATGAAAGCAGGTTGCTGTTTGAACTTTAATGGATACAGTATACTTATGGACTTCACTGAGTACAACTATACTTAAAGACTATGGGCTACTAAGAATAATATCCTGTGTACGCAACACACAGAGAAGGCACTACAACCTATTTATAACTGAACTTCAATAAGAAATGTGCATGTATGGTGAATTAATACAAGTTGTTTATGAGTAAACAAGACATGTTATGTTTCAAATAAGACTTTGTTTTTATGTCTGAGTGCATATTTTTAACTAAGAAGTTTCAAGGGAGTGTATATCTTTTGGGCAATTACAACTGCAATTTAATCTTCAAAGAAACAACCATCCTCTGCTAACCAAATATATTTTTGTAGTGGCATGTCTTTCTCCTTGGCAGTTTAAAGACATGGTTTGTCAGTTTAACAGCTGAGTTACCTGTGCGCCATTACACAAATGCTTATGAATATGACTTGTTCAAAGAGCTGACTTCTAACAAGCTCATGCTTTTCTTGACTAGTGGTTTTCACATGTTCATGGAGATTCACCTTTGCCAAACAGATGTGGCATCATTTTTAACTTTTCAATAAGGTCATGGTGTAGTTATTTCCAATATGTTATGGAATTTCCAATATTTCCAATTAGCATCTGAGCACAATTCAAAGTGCTGGTTTTAACCTATAAATCCCTATACAGCTCCAGCCCAGTTTACCTGTATTCTAACGTATTCTACCCTATGAACCATCAAGGATGTTAAGATCTTCTGGAGAGGCCCTGCTCTCGGTCCCACCACCTTTGCAAGCATGTTTGGTGGGAACGAGAGACAGGGCCTTCTCTGTGGTGGCCCCTCAGCTATGGAACTCTCTCCCAAGCGAGATTAGATCTGCCCCCTCCCTCTTGTCCTTCAGGAGGCTAGTGAAATCCTGGTTATGGAACGAAGCATTCCCAGAATAATGGCTGAGACTGGTTACAGACCAAAGTGAGTGACCACATATGCGGACTGAGTTGAGCATGATTTTACCTTGGCGATTTTGTATATATGTATTTTATCTGTATGTATTTTAATCTTGTATTGTTGTATTAACTTGTATTAGTAGCATTGAATCCTAAGCCGGTCTGAGTCCCTCTACGGAGGTGAGAAGATCGGGATATAAAAGTTTTAAATAAATAAATAAATAAATTTTCAATGTACACGCTTACCATCGTGCCTTCTCTGAAAGAGTATGCAACCTTCTCCTGTGTCCCTCCCACATTTAGAACTGGAGCGATTTTACTGGAGGCAAATCTCAGTCTTGGCCTGCAAAAGAGAAGTTTCCAAATTATTATTTATTAGGGGGTGTATTTTTCCTATTGGGAGGAGACTGAAAGGGCGGAAGAGAGAGGAAGGTTTCAACCATAGTACACATCAGCAAGCTAAAGTATTTGAGATGTCTGTTTTCAACAACAGCCCCATTCCAGCCTTATATGTATCCATCATATGAGGAGAAGAAGAATGCTACCGATCTTCCTTTCACTTTCATTGCCATCCTACATGCACTGAATTGTGTGTTTAAGCAATCTGGTGTTTATTATGTAACCCAGAATCCTGAAAAGCCAGGATTCTAATTCACAGACAGAAACTTCATACACAGAAGAGACTTTCCTTCTCAAAGGAAAGCATAGCAGGGTAGGAGTAATGAGGATGAAAGAGGGGCAAAACACACATATTGGACTCCGCAGTACAAACCCCATATCCCCAAGATTGGGACTTGTCATTTCACCTACTCACATCCAACAAAATACATAGGAATTTGGTAAGTCCTCCAGGTAGGCTTCAGCCATAGAGTTAACCTGGAAGACAAACCAAATTCCTCTATGAAGACTTTCAGCAAAAGCCGTTCATTTCAATTGAGTTCATTATTATCCAACTTCCTGTTTCCATGCTAAGTCTGGGAACGTATACCCCATGCATATGAATGTGATACCGAATTGAGTACAACAGACATATCACAGATAACCTGGAATAACCATTAAAAGAATGGTGTTGTTCTCAGTCTCTGGTTGTCTGGCTATTGGTTTCTTTCCTACTTTGGTGGCAAGGTTTGGTTTCCCATTCTTCAAGAGTTGGTGTGCTCTCTGATCTGCCTTTATGTTGGCATGGGTATTAGTTTGTGAGGGGTCATTGCTCAATCGTCTCAGCAGCCTCCACGCCTTCTGGCTGCTCCTGCCCATGTCGACCTCTGTGATCAGCTTGATCCACTGTTCTTTCTTGGCTTCAGAGATGGAGGACACAATGCTCTGCACTGCCTAAAGGGTTTGCTTACTAAATGGGTCTTCGTTGTGGAGCCTGTAATAGTTTTCCGACAAGGCAGTTGTTTTGGGAGTAATGCCCTGAAGGTAGTTGGTTCTGCAGCCTCTCGGTATAATCCATTTAAAACACAGGCATGTGCTTTTCACTTCAAGAACAGACAAGCATCCCGAGCTCTGAGGATTACCTGGGAAAGAATCCCACGGGAGCATTGCAGCACACCCAAATACCTGGCAGTCACTCTGGACCGTGCTCTGACCTACAAGAAGCACTGCCTGAATATCAAGCAAAAGGTGGGTGCTAGAAACAATATCATACGAAAGCTGACTGGCACAACCTGGGGATCACAACCAGACACAGTGAAGACATCTGCCCTTGCGCTATGCTACTCTGCTGCTGAGTATGCATGCCCAGTGTGGAACACATCTCACCACACTAAAACAATAGATGTGGCTCTTATCACGGGGTGTCTGCACCCTACACCACTGGAGAAACTACACTGTCTAGCCGGTATTGCACCACCTGACATCCGCCAGGAAGTAGCAGCCAATAGTGAAAGGACCAAGGCAGTGACATCTCCAGCCCATCCCCTGTTTGGGTATCAGCCAGTACGTCAATGATTTAAATCAAGAAATAGTTTCCTAAGATCTACAGAGACACTCGCTGGAACACCCCAGCAAGCGAGAGTCCAAAAGTGGCAGGCTCAAACTCAGAACCTCAATCAATGGCTGATACCAAATGAGAGACTCCCCCCAGGGCACACAGAAAACTGGGCGACTTGGAAGGCGATGAACAGACTGTGCACTGGCACCACGAGATGCAGAGCCAATCTTAAGAAATGGGGCTACAAAGTGGAATCCACGACATATGAGGGTGGAGAAGAGCAAACCACTGACCACCTGCTGCAATGCAACCTGAGCCCTGCCACATGCACAATGGAGGACCTTCTTGCGGCAACACCGGAAGCACTCCAAGTGGCCAGATACTGGTCAAAGGACATTTAATCAACTACCAAGCTTGCAAACTCTGTGTTTTGTCTGTTTGTTTGCTTTGTTAAAAATGTAATACAAATGCCTGGTTGCTCCGGACACGATAAATAAATAAATAAATAACCATTAAAAGAAATCGTTACTGTCTTAATATTAAATGCTCTTTATTTTAGCAGAATCACAACACCAACCAGGCCTTTTATAATCTGCTAACTGTGTGATCAGTGCCACATACATTCCATCCCTAATAGAAAGACTGTTCCTTACTTAGTTGACTTCTTCCCATCCGTCTGCGTCTTCCCTTCCACCTCGGCTTCGCTGAGTTCCTCCGTAGGGCTCTGAGGCTCAGACCGGGGGAAAGCTGTTTTTAATGTGTCCACAATGGCATTCATTACAATCTGAACAGGATGACAAATGATGGAATGGTTCATATGTGAATGAATGAAAGAGAGTGAGTGAATGAATGAATACATGAATGAAAGAGAGAGAAAGATGGATGGTTATGATGTTTGCAGAAAGCAGGTCTATCAAAGGATGGGTAAGTTTTAACCTTCCACTTATTATTTATTTATTTGCTACATTTGTATACCGCCCCTCTCAGCCCGCAGGAGACTCGAGGGGGTTCACAAGGCAACAATTCAATGCCAACAACATAATAAAAACATCAAAACATTGAAAAGCATTAACACATCAATTAAAAACCATGACAATAATAAAAACGATCATTTTGTCTCCAAGATAAAAACATAATCCAATCTCACAATCCAATTGTTCCATGATCCTATGTCTAATTACACTGCCTTTTCAAAACACCTGCTCGAATAGCCAGGTTTTGACTGTTTTTTGGAAAGTCAAGAGGGAGGGAGCTGATGTTATGTCTCTACAAAGGGCGTTCCATAATCGAGAGGCCACCACTGAGAAGGCCCTGTGTCTCGTCACCGCCAAAAGCACTTTGCTTTTGGCCAAAATAGGAATAGCTGCATTGAGTCTCCTTTTGGAGAGAAGGATATAAATACTACTATTACTCCTCCTACTAATAGTAGTAGTAATAATAATAATGCCAATAATCATCATCATCATAATCATCATCATCATCATCATCATCAATGCGGAATATTGTAAAGAGCTGATATTCTCCAACCTCTGGAGAACCACGTAATTACCAACCCCTAATGCAGAAATACAGTGTACAAGCATTAAAATTAGTTTACATATTATGTTTACATGTACTTAGTTTGTGTAAACTAATTTTAATGCTTGTGCACTGTATTTATGCATGGGGGGGGGGGGTAATTATGTGGTTCACCAGAGGTTGGAGAACTGCAACTTTCTGAATTGATGATGATAATGATGATGATGATGATGATTATTATTATTATTATTTTACATATTAGTTTACATATTATGTTTACATGTACTTAGTTTGTATATGTTGGAGCCCCTGGTGGCGCAGTGGGTTAAAGCGCTAAGCTGCTGAACTTGCTGACCGAAAGGTCGCATGTTCGAATCCGGGGAGCCGTATGAGCTCCCTCTGTTAGCCCCAGCTTCTGCCAACCTAGCAGTTTGAAAACAAGCAAATGTGAGTAGATCAATAGGTACTGCTTCGGCGGGAAGGCAACAGTGCTCCATGCAGTCATGCTGGCCACATGACCTTGCAGGTGTCTACGGACAACGTCGGCTTAGAAATGGAGATGAGCACCAACCCCTAGCGTTGGGCACAACTGGACTTAAACATTTATAGGCTGTGGGTTTTTAGCTATTAAACTCCAGAATATAGTAGTAAGAAATGTTCCAAGTAAATAAGCAAAACTACATATCCAGTCAATAGGATTGTGAATGTATTTAAAGAGAGGAGTGCTCCATGATGGGCACAGTACCTTGTCAATCCTGGAGACAACAAAGGGCTTCTTGACAAAGGCGATCCTGGCGTCAGTGTTCAGGGCAAGGAATTCCTGCATCTCCTCGCTGTTGGCAATCTCAGAAATAGCACACAATTGCTAGAACAAGGGAACACACTCTTAGTGAGTTTGGATTAGGAACAGTTGCACCCAATGCGATCAAGGCAGAGTAGTCCGTGTGAGACCAATGCACATGTGGCAGTGCACTAGGCACATGTAAAGGTTCAGGCATTGTCATCACTCATTGACCACTAAAGTTCCACAAAATGATGCAAGTAATTCACATTCTCTATTGATCCATAGACTACATTGGTACTCAGTACAGAAGTTGAGTAATGCAACTTCGCCAATAGATATTTAGGCTACACTGAAGTGGCATCGGATCTTGCCCTCCAATTTTCCCTTAGTATGCTACATGGATAGGATTTTTGTAACTAGATTATGCCAACTCAGTTACTTTTGTGGATTTTATTTCCAGGAGTACCCTTTTAAAGGAGCCCCTGGTAGTGCAGTGGGCTAAACCGCTGAGATGCTGAACTTATTTATTTATTTACGACATTTATATGCCGCCCTTCTCACCCCAACGGGGACTCAGAGCGGCTTACAAGTAAAAAGTAAATACAATATATTATATTATTATCATAGCACAATATTATGATATATTACATTGCACTATAACATTATACTGTAATATTATTAGTAATATTATATTTAATATAAAATATATAATCATAATATCATATAGTAAAGGTAAAGGTTTTCCCCTGACATTAAGTCCAGTTGCGTCCGACTCGGGGAGGGGGGGTAGTGCTCATCTCCATTTCTAAGCTGAAGAGCCAGCGTTGTCCATAGACAACTCCAAGGTCATGTGGCCGGCATGACTGCATGGAGCACTGTTACCTTCCTTGCCAGAATGGTACCTATTGATCTACTCACAGTTGCATGTTTTCGAACTGCTAGGTTGGTAGAAGATCTATATATATTTATACACAATAATAAGAATTATTATAGTAATATTATTTTCTATTTATTTCCTGCAGTGAGCAAGTCTTTAAACAATGTCAATAATATCTATTTTCTTCCTCTAGCGAGTAAGTCTTTAAAAACAATAATTTATCTGTTTTCTTCCTGCAGCGAGAAGAAATAGAAATTGGCTACCAATTATCGCCTTTTCTTTATTTTCTTGCCGACCAAAAGGTTCGAATCCAGGGAGCAGAGTGAGCTCCCACTATTAGCCCCACTTTCTGCCAACCAATAATAATAATAATAATAATAATAATAATAATAATAATAATAATAATAATAATTTATTTATACCCCGCTACCATCTCCCCAAGGGACTCAGTGCGGCTTAGCCTACAATACATCAATAACAAAAGCAATAACGAAAACAATCAATAAAATACAATTAATATAAATCACATAAACAATAAACAATAACACACCTAGAAGTTTGAAAACATGCAAATGTAAATAGATCAATAGGTACCACTCCAGCTGGATGGTAAAAGCACTCCATGCAGTCATGCCATCCACATGACTTTGGAGGTGTCTACGGACAACACCGGCTCTTCGGCTTAGAAACTGAGATGAGCACCACCACCCAAAGTCGGACATGGCTAGACTTAATGTCAAGGGGAAACCTTTACTTTTACTTAACCTTTCAAAGGGAAACAGCACTCACCTTCAAAAATGACTCCAACAGGCTTTTCCTGGCTTCTACTTTCTCCACATCCATATTACCAAAAGGCAAATCAGGAAATAACTTCTTTGGCCCTTTGATATCTGCAGTTTGAACAAGAGAAAATAATACATTGATTTATCTGTTATTTTTATTTTAAACATCCATATACTGGTTTTCACCGATGCCCCATCTACACTCCCAAATAATGTATTCCATGGTCAATGTGGACTCAATTAATGCAGTTTGTTGTTGTTTATTCGTTCAGCTGCTTCTGACTCTGTGACCTCCTGAACCAGCCCATGCCAGAGCTCCTGTCGGCCGTGGCCACCCCCTGCTCCTTCAAAGTCAAACCAGTCACTTCAAGGATGACATCCATCCACCTTGCAGCTTAACTATATACTAAAATTATACCCAGTCCTTTTCAATAGTAGCAATTAATATATATGTGTTATGGCGACAATTTTTATTGTTTTGTTAATCTTATGGTTATGTTGCTTACTCTGTATGTATTGATGACGTTACTTGGAAACCGCTCTGAGTCCCCTCGGGGAGATAGAGTGGTATATAAATAAAGTTATTATTATTATTATTATTTAAGATGTGAATTATTCTAATTAGTCTATGATTACACTATATAACAAAATTTGAAAAGTTTTCTGTTCCTGGTTTGAACATATTATTTCCTGTTTAACTGTGCGGTACTTACTTTGAACGTAGCTGTTATACTTTGGAAACGTTGGTTTTGTGGCTGCCACAAACTATGGGCCCTTCCACACAGCTCTATATCCCAGAATATCAAGGCAGAAAATCCCACAATATCTGCTTTGAATTGGGTTATCTGTGTCCACAATGCAATATATTCCAGCTCAATGTAAGTATTGTGGGATTTTCTGCCTTGATATTCTGGATTATATGGCTGTGTGGAAAGGCCCTATGTTGAATTGGTTGCAATTTTATATATTCATTGACTACTAACTGTCCCCTGCCACACCTTGCTGTGGCCCAGTCTGTGTATATGTGTTTTGTGTGTGTATATATTTGTGTATATGTGTATATATGCAGTTTTGCGCATGCGTTGTAATGTAATATTTATTTTTTTGGCTTTTTAAGTCTCTTCTGCTGTGTTTTTCAGTGTTTTTATGAGTGATGGTCACTCGTTGGCCTGATAGGCGTCTTGTGTCCAAATCTGGTGTCAGTTCGTCCAGTGGGTTTTGAGTTATGTTAACCCCACAAATGAACATTAAATTTGTATTTATACAGACTAGCCGTCCCCTGCCATGCATTGCTGTGGCCGTCTGGTGATCTGGAAAATAATGAGAAGGTGTTGATTTCTAATATATGTAATGTCTTTATGCTTGTGGGTAAACAGTATTTCTTGCTGTTTCTTTGTCAGTGCTGATGTGGAGATTGTCTGGTTTGCCTACTCTGGAACATGCAATTGTCCTTGTTTAGGAATTCCTTTCAAATCTATGATACTATATCTCTCTCTGTGTGAATCATATCTATATATCTATATCTATGGCTGGATGGCTCTTTGTCAGGAGGGCTTTGATTACGTTTTATTGTCCTGGTGAAGGGAGTTGGACTGGATGGCCTTAAGTATTTTCTGTTGGTCATCAAGGTTCTGTGTAGGAAGTTTGCCCCAATTATGTCATTCATGGGGTTCAGAATGCTCTTTGATTGTAAATGAACTATAAATCCCAGCAACTACAACTCCCAAATGTCAAGGTCTATTTCCTCCAAATTCCATCTGTGTTCATATTTGGGCATATGGAATATTCGTGCCAAGTTTGGTCCAGATCCATCATTGTTTGAGTCCACAGTGCTCTCTGGATGTAGGTGAACTACAACTCCAAACTCAAGGTCAATGCCTACCAAACCCTTCTAGTGTTTTCTGTTGGTCATGGGAGTCCTGTGTGCCAAGTTTGGTTCAATTCCATCGTTGGTGGAGTTCAGAATGCTCTTTGATTGTAGGTGAACTATAAATCCCAACTACAACTCCCAAATGTCAAGGTCTATTTCCCCCCAAACTCCATCTGTGTTCATATTTGGGCATATGGAATATTCATGCCAAGTTTGGTCCAGATCTATCATTGTTTGAGTCCACAGTGCTCTCTGGATGGAGGTGAACTACAACTCCCAAACTCAAGGTCAATGTCCACCAAACCCCTTTAGTGTTTTCTGTTGGTCATGGGAGTCTTGTATATCACATCTGGTTCAATTCCATCATTGGTGGAGTTCAGAATTCTCTTTGATTGTAGGTGTACTATAAATCCCAGCAACTACAACTCCCAAATGACAAAATCAAAAGTTTTTGAGTGAAGGACATACATTGGGTTGTTAGGTATATGCTGTCCAAATTTGGTGTCAATTGGCCCCCGGTTTTTTGAGTTCTGTTAATCCTACAAACAAACATTACATTTTTATTTATATAGATAGCAAAATGAGCTTCCCACAATGTCCCGCAAAAACAAAATAATAGCAATTTAATAAACTTTTTCATATTTTCATGACAGAACCAATTATGAAATAACATTTATAACCCAGGAACAAAAATCGTGTTACATACTACTTCAACACAGTAGAGAAATAATCCATTTTAAATCCGGTTTCTGCCTCCTCCTGCAGAATTCTGGGTTTTGTAGTTTAGTGAGGCAGATACTACAGAACTGAGCTGAAAAAAAGAAAGCCTCCTTCAAAAAGCAAACTGCAGTACCAACTTTTAATGAACTTCCGGAGATCCGGCTTCTCCTCCAGTCTGGTTTGCAAGTTCAAGAATTCCCGATAGCGCCGGTTCACAGTGTGGTAAGCAACTTGCTGGAGGGTGCTGGTATTGTCACTGTCCAAAGTTGTCTCATACTGTAGAAGAAAGAATATTCACTATTCAAGCAAAACAGACAACCATCTACAAGGCATTGGGTTGTGACTCCCATTTTCTCTCCTCACTGGCTGTGCTATCTAGAGATAAGGGAGCTGAGTATGTTAATGTTAAGCCTTTAGAAAAGAAAACTGAGAATATGGCAATCCCCTTTAAATATAAAACAGGAGATTGTCATGTAAATACGAGGGTTGAATGAAAAGTAATGCCTCCACCTTCGTAACTCCTCAACAGATGGCAGTACTGGTATGCAGCAGGTACTGGCTTGTTCAGTAGACTCTCCTCTACAGTTCCATTTTGCCGGGAAGCCTTAGCATTGAACGATTGTTGAGCAAACTATTTGCTCAACTAAGGCAAACAATTGGCATAATAAAGCATACTGGGTACAAGTTAGCTAGCAAACAAAGTGGTACGATGGTCACATTGGGAGTCAAGGCTCTTCTGGACTCTATAAACATGTTTCTGGAATGAGCTTCATGTATTCCAAGTAGACTGGAACGTACTTAGTCCTAATCTTTTTTATACTGGTTTTAAACCACTTCACTGGACATGTTGCAATAGCAGATTTCCAGATTAGTTTAGTGTTTACACCTTATTTTATTTTTCTGGTTATTTAATCTTTAATGCTTATTTTACTTAAGTGATATTTGTCTTTACTGTTCTAATGTAGCACAAATCCTATGTAAAATCATACTACGTATTTTTGACATTAATATTGAAATCTGAAATATATACAGAAAGTCTTACAGTGCGAAGTATGTAACCTTGCACAGACAGTCAGTCAATGGCGCAGCTGGCTGAGTGTCAGCTGCATTAAAATCACTCTGACCAAAAGGTCATGAGTTCGAAGCCAGCTCAGGTTGGAGTGGGTTTCCAACCAATTATTTGTAGCCTGTTGTCGACCTTTGCAACCCGAAAGACAGTTGCATCTGTCAAGTAGGAAAATTAGGTACCACCTTAGTGGGGAGGCTAAATTAATTAATTTATGAGGCCATAAAGAAGACTCCAGCAAAGCATTCCAGCGGGGAAGCTTGCGGGGAATGCGGAAGCACTTCATCAGTGTCGCAGATGGATGATGAAAACGACAGCTCCCCTGCCGGCCAAAAAAAATTAAATAGCCTCTGTGTATGTCTGTATATGTTTGTATGTCAAAAATTGGCATTGAATGTTTGCCATATATGTGTACACTGTAATCCGCCCTGAGTCCCCTGTGGGGTGAAAAGGGCGGAATATAAAAGCTGTAAATAAATAAATAATAAATAAATAATGCAACTTTATGCAAGTTAACGATCATTGTATCACTCAGAGAGAAATTTCAAGCATAATCGGCATTTCACAAGAACGTATGGGTCACATTATTGCTTTGCTTGGCTATCAGAAGATCTGTGCACAATGGGTACCCAGGATGCTGACACCTGAAATGAAAGCACACAGACTTCTTCCATGACGGTTTCAGAAAACTTGTTCATAATTGGCAGAAATGTATCCAATTGTCTGGTGATTATGTGGAAAAGTGAATAGTGGTAGTTAAAGAGCACATTCTAAGGATTATTTCTGTGTTTGGTTTACTGAAATATTCCCATCCAGACCCAAGTAATGAAGGTGGAGACATTACTTTTCATTCAACCCTCGTTGTACTACTCAAAGTGGTGGACCTTGGACTACTCACAGGCCACAAGCCCATCAGCTTCTGATCTCTACTGAGTTTCCAGTAGGAAAGCAACAAACACTTGCCAATAGAAACAAATACTGGACATTTCCATAACACAACAACATGAGTGAAGATAGTTGGAAAACATTGATGGAGAAGATAGGGCAGATTAGTTGTTGTGCTGCCCCATAGATAGAGCCTAAATCAATGGATTCAAATTGTAAAGAAAGAGATCCTGAGTGGGAAGCATTATCTTATGAGTAGCTCAGAAAATAATGGGCCCTCCTTCGCTAGATGTTTTGAAACAGAGTGGGTTTTGAATGACCATCATGTCCAGCAATGGCCTTATGTGGTTCCAAGGCTTTCTTCCATCTTTGGATGCATCTACACTGTAGAATGAATATACCTTGACAACACTTTAACTGCCATATCTCAATACTATAGAATCATGGGAAGTACAAGCCTTCTCTGCCCAAGACTGCTGGGTGCTTCACCAAACCACCATCTCCAGGACTCCATAGTACTGAGCCATGATAGCTCAAGTGGTGTCAAACTGCACTAATTCTACAGTATAAATGCACCCTTTGGGATGCTGTGGCTCTCTCAAGATTTACCTTATATGTACATATACCACAACCCCAATCATTCAACCACCTTGTTCATGACTGATGCAAGAATATGGTCAGTTGGTACTTCCTACATGACAGATTCACAAGGACAAGGCTTACCTTCACAGTATACAAGGTGTAGGGATGGAACCCCGTTCCACTGTGCTCTCGGGCTGTGATGGTGCCAGTTATCCGCAGGTTTTGGATGATGACTGGGCCATCTGGGCTACTGAGTGGCTCAAAGCTGAAGGTGCCCATGGGGGCAGTGGGGGAGGAGGAGAGCAGTCCTGGCAACTGAGCCAGATCCTGAGGGTTGTGGGATGAGCATTCGGAAGACACAGGCTCTTTCTCCAGGAAGGAGGGACGCCTCAAGAAGCTCTTCTGTGAGTCCTCTAGAAGAGCTGACAAGGAGGCTAAGCTTGCCTCCTTCTCCACTGCCAGGTCGATCTGGATATCTGGACATGGACTCATTGAGGTGGCTCGGAGGCCAGTTTCAGAACCAGAGCTAGCAGGGTCCTCCACACACCTGGTTCTAACACCCAAGCTATCTTCTTGATCCAGGCTGTCAGACCCTTCCAGGGAAGGATTTGCAAGGAACTCCTCAGCTGTCATGAAGCCCACTGGGCCTGAGTCTTTCACTTGATCAGACATGGGAGACTCAATTTCCAAGTCTTCACAGGGAAAAAAAGACCCCAGTGTATCAACCTGAAGGCAAGGCACACACAAGCTACTAGTTCTTCTCCTGTCTGTCTCAGCACTCAGCTCTCGGCTGATGGATTCTCTTCCTTCAGGTACATGACTATCCAAACTATCCATCACATCGCCAAGAAATGCCTCAGAACCCCTCGGAGACACCACCCGGGACTCAGGGGCCACTTCCCACTGAGATGGCAAGGACAACGAGTCAGGCACCACAAGTTGGCTTGGCAAAATAGCTGAAGCCGCTGGCACTGTCTCCACCTTCTCTTTCCCTCCAGCTCCTTTCCCTCCAATCTTGGAGAAAATGGCAATCAAGAGCAGGTTGAGCCAGTCGGGGTCCACCATTCTGTTGATCATGGGCAAAAGCACGTTGCAAGTCACCAACTCTACCACTACAAAACGTCCGGTTCTGGTTTCCAGGTGGGGTTTGGGCACCAGGTCACGCAGCAGGAGGTCCACGAGATGTCGGGCATAGTCCACCTCACTGGTGGGGCTCCGGACTGCCACATGAGGTTCTGAAAATTCACAATAGGTTTGCCAGATCTGGTCAGCCCAGTTGGCTGAGTCTCGGGAGATTCTTCTTTCTGCCACCTTTTCCCGAGCTGTTTTATAGGTCTGGAGGTGGCACCCGCCGAGGAGGAGGACCTTCTGAGTCACGGCCTGCTTGTCCATGAGGGCCATCCGCCTTTTGAGCTCCATGGCCAGGCCCAGCATGGCTCTCTCGACCTCATCCTCAAAGCCCCGCTCGTTGCTCACAGCACGATACCAGGAGGACACAAAATCCCGAATGATCTTCCGGATCATGTTCTTGATCTCCTCATCCAGCTCCTTCTCTGCCTCGGGGCTTGGGGGGTACCTTTCAAGAAGCAAGAACCTCTCCAGGTGGATCTTGTGGTTAGTGCTGACCACCACTTGGGAGCCCAGCCAGCCGCCCAGGAGGGCCAGTAACCCAGAGAGGACGCAGAGCAACCAGACATTGACCAGCAAGTGGACCACCAGGAGCCAGCCCAAGATGGCCCCTAGGGCGATCAGCTTCCGGTTCCCAATCATGTCACCCAAGCCACCGCTCGGACTACTGCCTGGTTCTTGCATCCGTAGCATCTTGTTCCCCTTTCGTCCTTCTCAAGTGACCAAAACCAGCATCGGCCTCATTGTTGTGGATGAAAGATCTTGGGCACTGCTTATCAGGGATGGAGCTGCCTCCTTAACTGCCGCAAAACAACACCAATTTCATTGAAGTCCATGAAAGATCTCGCTTGACGCTGACCAGGGATGGAGTTGCCTCCTTAACTGATCCAAAACAACACCAATTTCATTGCAGCCCATGAAAGATCTTGGTTGCTGCTTACCAGGGATGGAGTTGTCTCCTTAACTGACCCAAAACAACACCAGTTTCATTGAAGCCCATGAAAGATCTCACTTTCTGCTTACCAGGGATGGAGTTTCCTTCTTAAGTCCATAGAAGATATTGCTTGATGCTTACCAGGGATAGAGTTACCTCCTTAACTGACCCAAAACAACACCAATTTCATTGCAGTCCATGGAAGATCTCACTTGATGCTTACCAGGGATGGAGTTTCCTCCTTAAATGACCCAAAACAACATCAATTTCATTGAAGTCCATGAAAGATTTCACTTGATGCTTACCAGGGATGGAGTTGCCTCCTTAACTGATCCAAAACAACATCAACTTCATTTAAGTCCATGAAAGATCTTGATTGCTGCTTACCAGGGATGGAGTTGTCTCCTTAACTGACCCAAAACAACACCAATTTCATTGAAGTCTATGAAAGATCTCACTTGCTGCTTACCAGGGATGGAGTTGCCTCCTTAAATGACTCAAAACAACACCAATTTCATTGAAGTATATGGAACATCTTGGTTGTTGCTTACCAGGGATGGAGTTGCCTCCTTAACTGACTCAAAACAACACCAATTCCATTGAAGTCCATGAAAGATCTTGCTTGATGCTTACTAGGGATGGAGTTACCTCCTTAATTGACCCAAAACAACACCAATTTCATTGCAGTCCATGGAAGATCTCGCTTGATGCTTACCAGGGGTGGAATTGCCTCCTTCTCAATTGACCAAAACCAGCCGGAGTCCCACTGATGTCAATGGAAAGATCCCTCTCCCACTCCTTTTCCCATCTGACAAATTCCTTCCTGTTCTATTTATTGTATTAGTACCTTGCAATCTTCCCCAGGGTTTGATCCAAGGAAAGGAAAACAACAAGGAAGGGAAACATAAACAACGAGGCAAAGGATGCCCTGTCAAACTGCAGCTTTAAGAAGTGGCTGTGGTTGCCTTTTAAGGGGGAGCAAATCGGCTTCTATGGGAAACAGGGGGCATTCCCCCCAAAGGAAGAGATGCACGCTGTTTGCAAGAGGCTAAGCCTCCTTCCTTGCCTGCTTTGCAACCTGGATCTCCTTTGATGGCCTTTTCTTTTGCAGGCGGTGTCCTGCGACGAAGCCCGGCCCAAGGATCCCTTGCAGGGCGAGCGAGGCTTTGGCCAGGTCGCCCTTTCCCGAGCCCTTCCTGGGTCTCTCTCTCCGCCTTCAGAGAGAAGAAGGAGGCGAGGCAAGAGGAAAGCCACGCTCCGGAGCCCGGGCCCTGCAGAGCCACCTGGCGAGTGGAAGGGAATAGCACAAGGCAGGCTGGGTGGAGGGACATCCATGCAGTAGAATTAACGCAGTTTGGCACCCCTTCAAAGGCCAGGGCTCAGTGGAAGGGAATCCCTAACCCTAACCCATTAGCACTATGGAGAAGCAAACCAAAACAAAGTCTATACTGGGTTGTTGTAGGTTTTTTTCCAGCCTATATGGCCATGTTCTAGAGCAGTGTTTCTCAACCCTCCTAATGCCGCGACCCCTTAATACAGTTCCTCCTGTTGTGGTGGCCCCCAACCATCAAATTATTTTCATTGCTACTTCATAACTGCAATTTTGCTACTGTTCTGAATTGTAATGTAAATATCTGATATGCAGGATGTATTTTCCCATGACCAACAGAAAATACTGGAAGGGTTTGGTGGGCATTGACCTTGAGTTTGGGAGTTGTAGTTCACCTACATCCAGACAGCACTGTGGACTCAAACAATGATGGATCTGGGCCAAACTTGGCATGAATACTCAATATGCCCAAATGTGAACACTGGTAGAGTTTGGGGGAAATAGACCTTGACATAGTTGCTGGGATTTATAGTTCACCTACAATCAAAGAACAGTCTGTGTCCCACCAACAATAGAATTGGGCCAAACTTCACACACATGATCCCCAATACCAACAGACAATACGGTGGGTTGTTGTAGGTTTTTTCGGGCTATATGGCCATGGTCTAGAGGCATCCTCTCCTGACGTTTTGCCTGCATCTATGGCAAGCAGCAGAATATGGTGTTTTCTGATGGTCTTTGGCAACCCCTCTGACACCCCCTCACGACCCCCCCCAGGGGTCCCGACCCCCAGGTTGAGAAACACTGTTCTAGAGGCATTCTCTCCTGACGTTTCGCCTGCATCTATGGCAAGCATCCTCAGAGGTAGTGAGGTCTGTTGGAACTAGGAAAATGGGTTTATATATCTGTGGAATGACCAGGGTGGGACAAAGGACTCTTGTCTGCTGGAGCTAGGTGTGAATGTTTCAACTGACCACCTACATCCAGAGAGCACTGTGGAGTTAAAGAATGACAGACGGGGACCAAACTTGGCACCGATACTCAATATGCCCAAATGTGAACACAGGTGGAGTTTGGCGAAAATAGACCTTGACATTTGGGAGTTGTAGTTGCTGGGATATATCGTTCATCCACAATCAACGAGCATTCTCAACACCATCAATGATAGAATAGTGCCAAACTTGCCACACAGTCCCCCTATGACCAAGAGAAAATACTAAAATGATTTGGCGGGCATTGACCTTGAGTTTTGGAGTTGTAGTTCATGTACGAGAGATGAACTACAACAATGGATCTGGACCAAACTTGGCACAAATACTGAATATGTCTAAAACCGTTTTTATAGGCTAAAGCCAACCACATTAACCCTGAGAAACTCTTATCAGTACTTAAAATTTGTTATGTGGGCAAGTTTGCTATAAATGCGTCATTGGTGTGGTTCAGTGTTATTTATTTATTATTTATTTACTTTGCTTATATACCGCTGTTCTCAGCCCAGGGGCGACTCACAGCGGTGTACAACATAGGAAAAACAAAATTCAAAACACAGTATAAAACAATTCTCAATCCATTATGCAAAAACATTATACAAAAAGCATTATACAAAACATTGTGCTCTCTGGCTGTAGGGTAAACTACAAGTCCCCTCAAACCCCATCAGTAGATTGAGATAGTCATGGGGGTTCTGTATGGCAAGTTTGGTCCAGGTCCACCATCAGTGGAGGTCACAGTTTCTCTGGTTGTGGGTGAACTACACCTCCCAGAAAGGAAGGTCAGCCCCCAACCCCAAACCCCTCCAGTAATCAAATTTCAGCATATCAGATCTGCATGCCAAGTTTGGTCCAGATCCATTGGTGTTTGGGTTCACAGTACTCTCTAGATGTAGGTGAACTGGAACTCCCCCAAATCAAGGTGAATTTTCCCCAAAGACCTTCAGTGTTTTTTGCTCGTCATGGGGGCTCGGTGTGCCTAGTTTGGTCCAATTCCATCTTTGCAGGAGTTCAGAGTGTTCTTAGATTGCAGGTGACTTAAACATCCCAGTATCCACAACTCCTATAAATCATGGGGTATTCTCCTCAAACCTCTCTAGTATTGTTCAATTGTGGATCAATTTATCTATTTGCTGTGTGCCATAGAAATGTATAGGAACGGTTTATGGGAGAGGCAGTGGATGGTGGTCATGCAAGTTCCACTCAATTGAGAGAGTAAGAAACATTGTGATGTCTGTGGTGGAGGAAGCACATAAAATTTAGGCTGAAATTGTCCTCATATATACGCCTTCGCTTTAGTGGCGGGCAGTGTGGTATTTGTGCAGGACATTGACACAGCTCTTGTACACCCAGTTGGGAGGGATAGCCAATTCTCCAGAAGACAGGAGCAGAATTCAAAGCAATCTTAACAGAATAGAGAGATGGGCCAAAACAAACAAAATGAAGTTCAACAGGGAGAAATGCAAGATACTCCACTTAAGCAGAAAAAATGAAATGCAAATATACAGAATGCGGGATGCGTGTATGTATGTTTCACACATACTCGAGAGCAGTATGTGTGAAAAAGATCCTGGAGTCCTCATGGACAACAAGTTAAACATGAGCCAACAATGTGATGTGGCGGCAAAAAAAGCCAATGGGATTTTGGCCTGCATCAGTAGGAGTCTAGTGTCTAGATCCAAGGAAGTCATGCAACCCATGCTCTATTCTGCCTTGGTTAGACCACACCTGGAATATTGTGTCCAATTCTGGGCACCACAATTGTAGAGAAGCTGGAATGTGTCCAGAGGAGGGTGACTAAAATGATCAAGGGTCTGGAGAACAAGCCCTATGAGGAGCGGCTTAAAGAACTGGGCATGTTTAGCTTTCAGAAGAGAAGGCTGAGAGGAGACATGATACCCATGTATAAATATGTGAGAGGAAGTCATAGGGAGGTGGGAGCAAGGTTGTTTTCTGCTGCCCTGGAGACTAGGATGCGGAACAATGGCTTCAAACTACAAGAAAGGAGATTCCATCTGAACATTAGGAAGAACTTCCTAACTGTGAGAGCTGTTCAGCAGTGGAACTCTGTGCCCCGGAGTGTGGTAGAGGCTCCTTCTTTGGAGGCTTTTAAGCAGAGGCTGGATGGCCATCTGTCGGGGTGCTTTGAATGTAATTTTCCTGCTTCTTGGCAGGGGGTTGGACTGGATGACCTATGAGGTCTCTTCCAACTCTATGATTCTATGTTTGTGGCACTCGATGTAACCTGCAATGTCATTGGAAGAAGGGCCATTGGTGTCTCCTGAGTAATGAGAGCTATAGTTATTTGTGGAAGTGGGAGCCTGTCTGTGTAAGTGGACACCCCAGCCACATACCTACGTATTTTCACTTTTATTATGTGTATATGGAGCCCCCGGTGGCGCAGTGGGTTAAAGCACTGAGCTGCTTAGCTTGTTGATCGAAAGGTCGCAGGTTCGATTCCGGGGAGCGGCGTGAGCTTCTGCTGTCAGCCCTAGCTTCTGCCAACCTAGCAGTTTGAAAACATGCAAATGTGAGTAGATCAATAGGTACCGCTCCGGCGGGAAGGTAACGGCGCTCCATGCAGTCATGCCGGCCACATGACCTTGGAGGTGTCTACGGACAACGCTGGCTCTTCGGCTTAGAAATGGAGATGAGCACCACACCCCAGAGTCAGACATGACTGGACTTAATGTCAGGGGACTAGCTTTACCTTTACCTATGTGTATATATAGATAGAAGATAGATAAATAACACATGGAATCTGTGTAGACAATATTACTAACCTATTGACAAAAGAAATTAACTCC